AAAAAAAAAAAAAAAAAAAAAAAAAAAAAAAACGGTTCTGATGCATCACTTTCAAAAACTCCACGTGAAAAGCCATATTAGAAAAACTTTTCTGCTCGAAGATTTCAATGTTTTGAGTCTAACTTACCCTCGCTTTTATTTTACTCGCATTTCCTTTGTGAATGACCTTCTCACAAGCTGCTGGAACGAATATGTCACACTTTTCATACATGAGCTCATCAAATGGCTCAAAGCTCTTCGCGCCAGGGAAACCCTATCAAAATGACTCTAAGACAAAGCCTGTATAAGTATCATTTCAGTGAAACGACAAAATCAGAGGTGGATATTAAAATGTAACAAGATCTGCATTTATCTTTTTCAAAAAAACTTCACTATTTTCAATCTCACTTTAATCGTTCCATGCTTATCCTTCCAGTTCTCAAGTTCTTTTGGATGTATACCTTCGGAATTGTATAAAGCGCAGTCGATTTCCTGCACACCTATACATTTCGCTCCAGCTCTATGGAAATACCTCATAGTATGTAAACCAACATTGCCGAAACCCTGCCGTAAAAATTAATTTATCTTACTTTTATAATCCGGGTAAACAAAGTATGCACAAATACCTTCCCAAGCGATCTCTTGTGAAGGATAGCAAATGAAATACACTGTTGATCCTACTACTCGTAACCATTTAAAAATAAACAAGAATTACTCAGAATACCTGAATGATGAAAGTTTTCCCGTCAAACCCCGTAGGCATCTTTATTTTAGACATATACTCTTCATTATTTAGAAAAACTTCTAAACCTTTCCAGACTCCTCGGCCTGTGGCTGACGTACGTCCATGAATACCTTAAAGTTGAACAATAATTTTGTTGTCTAAAACCACCAGAAGAACCAAAAAGAGAAAACCAAGTCATCAAAATTTGTATGAGCAACAAAAACAATACAGAAATGACTTGAGCACTAATAAAAAAAAAAAAAGTAAAACTTACTACCGTACGATTCCCAAAAACTGTATAAATAAACTGCACTTGGAAAAAATTAAAAAAATAGGCCAGCTGCAAAATCATGTTAAAGAGAACTAGTGAAAAACCAGCCTCCAGCAACGATGGATTTCCCAGTTATGCAAGCAAACGCATCATGTACAAGATGACCAACAGTTTGTGAGTACGTATCAGCAATCCAGTTCATCTCTCGCTCTCCAGTACCCATGTCAGGAGCTGGTACGTCTACTCCTGGTCCCAAAAAACCTTTCTTGGCAAACTCAACCGCAATACGTCGTGTAATCTTTTCGATTTCATATGAAGAATACTTGCTCGGATCTATTTTTACCCCACCTGAAAAAAAAAAAAAAAAAACAAAAACAAAAAAAGACTTTAAAACCGCACCAACCTATCAAAATAATCAGGTAAACCGTCTTGAGATGCATCAAGTCAAGCACCTTTTGCTCCTCCAAATGGAACGTCAACAACTGAACACTTGTAAGTCATTAAGGCTGAAAGTGCTTTCACTTCATCTTCACAAACGTCAGTGGAGTACCGGATGCCTCCCTTTGTCGGTGTCCTATGCTCACTGTGTTGCGCACGCCAAGCTTCAATCATCTCGAACCTTCCATCCTCCCGTCGGATAGGAAAGGCCACATACAGAACCTGAACGGAAGGGTTATGTTGACTTGTAATCCGCATCAATGTGCTGTTTGCTCAGGAAACACGCACTGCTGCAAATTTTTAAATTTTGAAGATTCTTATTCGCTAGCCACATAAAAATTGGAAAATTCAACCAACTTTATTCACTGGTTTTATAGCAGCAAAAATGCCTTTCACAAGCATCTTTTTTTCTTCACTGCTCATATTTGCGTCACTCATTTCAGCTATGAGCTTCGGCTCAAGAACCTTTGCTCCTTTATCGACATAGTACTCAACACTCTAAAAAAAAGTGCTGAAGACTTATAAAACAGAAAACTTAGGTGTAACTGACGTCATTACAGTTCAGTAGCATAAAACACCCCTAGGAGAACAGTCTATAAAAAAGTAACTCACATTACAGCTATGAGGGAAACTAAAGCTGCGTTATCTGCCAAAAATGTAAAGACAAAAAGATTAGAAGTGTTTAAAGAAAATCAACAATTCCAAATTACCAAAATTTTCAAATGGTTACAAATCAAAAACCGAGGAAACCAGGCAGACGACGCATTTTTCTGCACGATAAAAATACCTACTTGAAAGAACGATGGATCAAGTTGTTCGTCCATCGGAAGCTTAGAGTCGGCAAGCTTTGCTTCCGAGTCATGATTTAGCGCTTGGGAAAGACAGCGCCTGCCAGACAAACGGAGACAATTTCGAACAGCCACTGAGAGCATTTTGTGAGGATACCTATACATGTTCAAATATAAATAAATAAACAAATATATATAGTATACTTTATTGTAGAAAACAGCACGCAGAAATTTTTTTAAAGTCTTTTACAGGCAAACTCATCTACCCTGCTGTTCAATAGAGCGACTTGGCAGTCTACAAAATAGAAGTCACAAAACACCTCATAGTAAGCAATACACAATTTAAAAACTATGTGAAATCAGACAATTGTTCCGATGAGGTGGCCGTTGGCCTCCTGAAAATTTACAGTTAACAGCGAAAGAAATACACAGTGACCAACAGCAGCCATGACCCCCTGACGCACCAAAAAAGTGTAACTCGCAATCAGTTTTGCCAAAAGAACCTATATACCCGTTACGAAGGGACCCTAAAAATCTCTTATCGACCACACATCAGTGCTCCCGAATGTGTGTAACTGAACTTTAGGAGGTGATGTGTCGCAGTACAGTAATTGAAAGTTCAGAAAATCTGTGCACGACCAAAGATGTTGTAAGTAATACAGTAATTGTAAAATACTGTTACAGCATTACTAACTACTTGGCGGTTTTAAGGCTGTAGTATTTCTTCTCGGATGGTAATCTTCTCATAGCCATTAATCCAAATCTACGTCGCTCTTCCTAAGTGTCGTAGATCCACCGCAGGGGGAAAATTGACATTAGACTTAACTATTTTCTATGGAATTACTTTCGTATCATGATCAAGTGCTTTTGAAAAACAGCGTATACACAGGAAATTCAAAAGTTTGAGCGTATCTGAAATCTTTATGGTATTACGAAAATCTGTGATATTTTTTCTTTCCGTTTTAATTGTATTTGACTAGACAAGTAGACCATCGATTTGCCTTCGGTCATTTATCTACCTCACATTTTTGTTTGGCTTTCACTGTTGATATGATTTATCTGTAATATAAAATGTAACAGAAGACGATTCTAACAAGAACATATCGTCGTTGGTTGTTGTGTTAAAATCTCCGTCAAATTTTTATTTTGTAGTTTTTTGAGGATGATTTGTGCTTGCGGAGTCTGCGGGAAAGTGAGGTGAGAATCTAATGAGTGCAGTTTAGTTGTTTAAAATTCCGTGGTGGCAAAGCTTCAACATTTTCTCCTGTCTACTTTTTCCAGTGTTTAAGTTAGAAATCATCTGGATTTGTTATTCCTTGAGTATTTTGATAATTTTCATTCATAAACCGTCTTCCTGACGAAATTATTTATTGCATTTCAAAGAAACTGTAGTAGATTTTGATGTATGAAGCCTCCGCTGACGTCACTGGAGTACTTTTATTGCACTAATGCAGATACCTATTTTAGAATCATACAATCATTTTTTCAGTTTACTGGATCTGAAAATTAGGAAGTTTTCCAGGTAAAGCTTGTCGTTCTGAACTCTAAAGAGCGAGTTGGCAAATCGAAAAGCTTGTTTTGGCTGGAGCAGAAGATAATAGCCTTTACTTTAGGTTCTGAATAAAAACTTATATCGAAGTTTTGATAAGGAACTAAAGTAGAAGAATTTGCTTCACTATCTGGTCTGCTATAACCAACGATTTTTTCCCAAAAACTACGAGATTTTAGTGTGTTGGCAGAAGACATTCGTTCTTTTTACCCGAACTTGGACCTGATGTTTTTGTTTATAATAAAAGAATTTTCGCACTTTATTAGTACTTCGTAGTACGTAGTGCATTTCTTTCTCCAAGAAAGGTAGAAGTACTTTAAGTTTGCCCTATATGTCAACAGTTGATGAAATTATGGTAACTTCTAGGCCGTCCCTATTATGTAAGACAATTTGAATACTTTATAGCCTAACGAAATATTGAAGTCTGCTTAAACATGGTGCTGTTTTTGTTTTTCGTATACTGATTCTACGGGTCGAAAATCAGACTATGGTTTGCAATAATATTTGACTTGGGTGTTATGGCTACAACTTTTGTTTTCAATGTCGTGCTTTGTGCTATGTCATAGCGGTGTTCAAATTTCTCCTATCAGCGAATTCAGTTGCTCGCTCGTTGTAAAGCTTCTGGGTTTTCATTCCTCCATGATTCTTATTGTTTTACTGGAGTTCGGCTTCTTAGTCGTGTTTTTCATTTTCATGCAGAACTCTTAATTTTATTAACCATGGCGGAAAACTATGGTTAAAATTCAGGCTTGCTTACACCAAGAATAAGGCTTGCCATCATCAGCAAAGACTGGTTGTTATGAGAGATTCGAAAGCAGCCCTAGCTACTTTCCGTGAGAACTTTGCTCAAGGGCTAGCCGAAGCTCTACAACCTGTTCAGATTGATGTTCGTGACCGATGGCCGTCTGAACTCACATCCAAAAATTACTTGGAGGGTAATAGCTGATTTTTTAGTAAATGTTTATTCAAAAAAAGAATTTAATGAAGCCGTTGTTTTATGACGTTAGCAAAATTCGTTCTTGCGCATTTTCTTTGGACCTTGAAAGCTTTCAGGAGAAGTTCTCCAAAATGGACATTTTGGCCGGGTGGTTGCTGCGCGAGCGTTTCCAGTTTCTCATGGACTGTCCCATTCAGAACCTCGATCATGTGTCATCAAGTATGTTGACGTTGCATCCCGTTTCAATCTTTGCTATAAAGGGTCAATATCCTCAAAACTTGATGGGCTCCAACGTCGCATCCTCTTAGAAGCTTATATATTAAACAGGTTTCTTTTATTGGAAGCCATATTTTTTTAAATTCAGGACCTTACTTGAAACTTCATTTTCTTGTTTCATTTTTTTGAAACGTTTAAAATAAATTCACGTTTTCTTGACTAGAAGCCCTTTTTATAAAAACGAATTCGCTTTTATATATTTTTTTCCCGCTGTAGTTCGTACACAATTTTCATGTGAAGTAACTTAAACATGATTAGGGAAAATTTTTTGTAAAAAATCTTTTAGAAAAGTATTATGGATCTGCAGTTTTCACTTTTAATAGGAAGATAAATGTAGTTTTCTATAAATCGGGAAAATGGGGTATAAGGTGCAATTCTGAAAGTGAAAGTTTAATTTTCATGAAAGACTGATTTTGCTATTTTAGAACACGTCATTCAAACGTAATGCACGCTCATGCAACTATCTTTGATGCGGATACCATGAGTTTACGTATTGTTTTTCCTCGTTGGTATTCTCTAAAATTTTTTATTGAAAAGTATCGTCAAGAACGCGATGGCGAGGTCTGTTATTCTAATTTTATTCTTTTCGTAAACATTTCCTTGATTAGGTCGTAGCAGTTTTTAAACACTTAATATTTAGCCGATGCACATACGCATGATTATGATGATCGTCAGACAGATCTGTCGTGGGCTGGAATACCTTCATTCTGCTAACATTGTACATAGGTTTGGATTTTAGCATGTTTTGTGGGAAAAACTTGTGTAATTAAAGATCTTTTTAGTGACGTGCATCCTAACAACATTTACGTGACGCGTGGTGGGACACTGAAGCTTGGTCATTTCAGTCAGAGTCGAGTTTTAGTCAATAATTCTTGTAGACGGTGTATAACTCCTACTGGCACTGAAGAGTTCATGTGTTATGAGAAAGTGAGTATTTCGCTCAATTCTTTCCTTTTTTTAAATTACAGTACTGTGGCAATTCAGAGATAGAACTGGAAAATTGTTTGCGAAATTCCTTAACACTTTCGTTATTTAAGCAGTTCAACCTTCGCATAGCACGTTCTTTTAATGAATGTATTCCTTACGACACCGCGGCAGACATTTGGTCAGTTGGAGTTCTTGTGATTCATTTGGTCAGTTATTTTCCAAACGAGAAGTGGCATCGACTGCCAAAAAATTTCGCACTGCAAATGGGGGAGTTAAAAATGCCGTTTAAATGGATGGCAAGCGAGCTAATGGTGTGATATTTTAAATTTTTTCTCTTAATATTTGTTAGTCTTCAGCGTGAAACATGGCTAAAATAATTATCTTCTTTGTTCTATTTAGCAACTCCGTGTGCGGTTGGCTCGAACAGGTGACGAGAATCTTAAGAAGTTTTTGGGGGAGAGGTTGTTGAATGTTTACCCGAATGCGCGTGCCACTGCGACGGAGATACTACAGTCAGACATCCTTAAGCGTTGGTGTAATGAGGAACTTGAAAAGGTATCCAATTTATAGACGCTTTCGAGATCTAGTGTTTTTATAAGGAATTCTAGGACAAGGAGTTCTTAGTGAGGAATCTGATCCACCGGTATGATTGGCCAAACCGATTTGGTTTGGAATCGGATGGCCCAAATTATGACGTCTGCGAAACGGTATATTTGATTCTCTTTTCTTCTGTTAAAAGTGGTGTTGTTTTTGGCAAGTGATGAGAGGCGTGCGTTAGCGTTAACATTTAGAAGGATATCCCAGTCGAATTTTATTGGGATAATACGTGGAAGAAACTTGAAAAACGCATTTTTGGTTATAAACTTGAAGTATGTGATGGCAAGAGTAAACGGCCTGTTTGTAATACTGAGTTAGTTTCTTTTTCACAACTTTCTTCTTTTTGATTCTCTTATTCATTGGATTAAATGAGTCTTTGTGACGTGCAGTGTTTTAATTTTCAGGCGAGTTTTTACTCATTCTAATAATTCTCTCTTGGAAACTTTGATGGAAGCTGTCGAAACCGGCGAACTTGATATAATTGATATCATTCCGGTTGACCAGAACATAAGAACTTTGTGCTTTAAATTAATGAGTGGCGGAAGTTGTCGATTCAGGAGATCAAAATCTGAAATTGTTGAGGATTTTCCTCGCGACGAAATGGGTAAGATTTTTTAAAATATATCTAGAAGCAAACACTGCTGATGATGAGTTTGGTTCTGCGGGGATCGTTTTTGCTCGAATGATAAAAATTATAAACTCAGTACTGTTAACACTTTAGCATCTTCTGTTCAAGAACAGTTTTTACATATGTTGCTTTCTTTGGAGAGGAAGCTTATTAAAAGATTTAAAACAGATCTTATCTTTTGTAATCATCAATTCGTTTTCAACATTTGAATTGTGAGCTATACTGGGTTTTTAAAATACCTTTCATCCAAGTTATCATCTTTTGAAAGGTTTTCTTTATTGTACACCAATTTTCATCACTTTTGATTTTCTTGCCGTTTTTAGGAAAATCAATTTGAAACCTTGAGCTGTTATCAAAAAGATGGGTCAAACAGTAAAATTCTACTCTACTGCCTTCAAAACGGCATGCATTTTAGGATGTAGTTTTCCTTTTCATTGCAGATTTTTTTATGGCTAATATTTGCAGAGTCGACAGTAAAACTACCTCCAACGCTGACATGTCGAGACCGATCAGCTTGTTTGAAGGTTTATGTTGTAGGAGGGAAATAAAACGTTATGCATGACACTAGTTATCACTTTTAACAGGCTTCATTTTTCCCATAGATTTATATTACACTGTAAAATGTAAAATTTCAAATTTCAAATTTCAAAACGTGTTAGTAAACGGATAGACCGTTGCCACTAAGAAGACTTTGCTTGCATTCTAACTCTAGAGGATTTCAGGGTTCGTTTTGTTTTCTTTTTCTTTTTGAATTTTTTTGCTTAAAATGTAGCCATAGGGAAAAGAAATGTTTTTGATGTTATGTTTCATAATTATTGTTTATACGTAAGCTTTGTAATATAAATTTTACTACTGGTAAGTGTTTGTGCATATCCTAGTGTTTCTACGGCTGGATTTTTGGAATTGTGTTTTATTTCTGTTTCTATGTATTCGACAATTTGTTTATAGTGATGCCGATTTCCAAAAAAAGAAACAAGTTTTACTTAATCACTAATAAAATTTTAGTAGTGTAACATTTATAAATTTTCGGTCTGTATAAATACTTCAACCACCTGGGTGGGGAAGTTTGTTTGCAGTTTTACAGTTACTTCACGTTATTTAATCAAGTTTGTTCATTTGCAAAATAAGGACACATTGAGACGAAATGAAGGATCCATATGGGGAATATAGTTGCTTCAGCTCGGAAAGTTAGGGAGGTGCTACAGCAGCATCTCTTTAGTGGTGCATTTTTAGGGTGCTTTAAGTGCATCTCTAATTCGGAAAAGAACTGCTCTTTGATTGAGCGGATCCATTGTGAGCGTTTGACGGGCAGGGGAAGGAACTGTGCTCCTAGAAGCGGGAGCAGCATTTATAGGAGGTTGGTTGGTGATGTTCGCAGGATGGTAATTGTAGTTTCTGGGCTGGGACCGGTGGTGTTGTTGACTTTGAGCGGAGCCGTCACCTGATGAGTAACTGAATTTTTGACGAATGCGCGAAGGTTGTCTGGGACATCTATTTGAGATGCTGAGATTACAATGGAAGGGAGAAAAAGGGCTTTTGGTGATAAAGAAGGTGCAGTCGCTAGATATTATAGAGTTGTTGCAGTAAGTTTTTTGTTTTGTATCTTCTCACGAACTGCGAAAATGATGTTGCGGTGCGGTTGATGCGGTTTGTTTTGGAGTGTGTTCAGCGTGGCGCATGTGCAAGTTCAATTTTTAATGAGCTTTACTTCGTTAGGGGTGACTGCGGGGGAAGGTTATTGTGAAGTGTCGGCACTGGAAAAGATAGGAAGTCTTCTGAAGAGTTGTGTAGAAAGCAAGGATAAGAATTTTGTGGTGTCATGGTGGTAGACTGATTTGATGAAGATTTGACAATTATGACTAAAACCTTGTTTTCTGATGGTTGGAGGGGTTGGTGTACGCGGCTATAAAGCATTCTTGAATGTTATGCGTTTGAAATAAATTTTTTGATCTGTTCAAGTTTTTATCACCAACATTGCGAAGAAGAAATCTAGGTCATAGCTTGTGAGCGGGAGGCGCTAAAAAGGTATTGGTAATAAATTGTAAATTTTGTTTTTCCTCTTGGACGCTGGTCATCAGGGTTTTTTGTTGTAAGCTTTCGGATGGTTTCTTATGCAGAATGCTCAGGACTAATATTTCATATTTCATGTAAATCTAATCCCGTTACGTGTTCGTTACAGAAGAGGTTGAGTGTGATAGCAATCTGTTGTACGGTTATTTTCATATCACACGTGTTTCTTGTTCATTGTTTAAGCTACAGAACAACATTGGAGATTGTCCATTGGGATCACGGTAGAATTGCCGAAAAGTTCTAATCAAAAAATGTTTACATTTTCAAACAATTATGCTTAATATAAATCTTTTATACAGATTTGAACGCTATGTTTAACAACAGATTTTACTACAAAATCGGGAAAATCTGAATTAGCATTACCGCGGTAAGCTAATATTTGTCTATAAGTTTGAACAGCAAACTTCAGAATAGACAATTTGACAAGTGTAGCGGTAATTGGGAATTGATGAAAAAACTTCCAGCATACGCTGTTACATTCAGTATCCTTAGAAAACGTTAAGGGTCTACATTTCCAAAATATTTAGAACCATTATTCAGAGGCCAGAGTGTACTGGATTAATTTGTTAGAAACTTGGGAATACTGCTGCAACTTTAAACATCTAATTGTTGTGTCTCGTTAATAAGTTTTTCTTTGGAAGTCTTTCGCAGAAGTCGCTTAAACACTTCCAAAGGGGCTCCATTTAATTTCTTGTGGCCAAAGATTTTCATCAATAATTTGGCCGTTGCCACTTTCTTTTCTGTTATTTTCGAATCCGAAATACTTGCAAATAAAATTTGTGAAACATTTGTTTGTTTAATGTCAACAACGAAGTGACGGCCGACAACGCTTCAGTTTGCCTAATATTGCACTGCTATTCGGTAATACTTTGTCGTCCAAATATAGTGTTTTCAAGCGTTGCTGTTTTAGGAAGATTTAGTGGCTACGGCAGCAAATCTGATGGATACAGATAAAAATTAAACCAATAAACGCCTCGAGAATAAATACAGATATCTAGTAAAGCTTTAAAATGTCTGAATTGGTGTGAGTGGTTGAGATTCTGTTATTTTAGCTGTCACATCGTTTCGACCAAATATATTTCTCTTGGATGGCAGTTAAATAAGAATTTGAATGCAAAAATTAAGTGTTGGTTTGCAGACAAAAATTCCCTTCGCAAACTGGACTATTGAAACCCCTGTTTAATTGTATAAAACAAGGTTTTTTTTCCAAAAAATACGAACTGACCATAGTTTCAGACAACCTTTAAATACGACAGTTTTTCAAGTTTCATTATCCTCTTTTATGATGTAAATCAGGAAGTGTTTGCTTATACTCACAAAAAGACGAGCTTACTACGTCTTTTCGTTTTTGAGGAAATTTCATCCTGCCAAACCTTAGTTACTTTTCTGTAGCAGATTAGACAAGCTTACTATAGCTTCAAATTTGCCTTTTAAAATCATTTTTCAATATTTTCTCCTCTGAACTATTTTTCAAAATCTATCTGGTTCTCAAAAACATTTCTTAACCTTTTAACAATTCTTCACTTTCATCATGACCACTGTCAAACCGAACAGTATTACAAGTCTGCTTGAGGAGCAAGAATAGAGATTCACTGGGCGGTTTTTTTTTCTGGATCAACTAATTACAGAGGGTAACTCGCCATTGAAAAAATTGTGGAAAGGTCTTC